CCTCCGGCTCCTGCAGCTCCGGGCGCGCCGCGCCCGCCCTCCGCACCAGGGCCCTCGTTTACCCGTTTCTGCCCTGGTGCAGCCGTGCTATACCTCCTCCGAGAGGCGATGAGATCATCCTGGCACGCTGGGCCCTGCTGTTGTGCTCTCAGGCGCGTGTCTGGGAGCCGGCTGCACCTTTTGTTTTGGGTTCCAGCAGATGTGAGTCTGGCAGCTGCGCTACAATAGTTACCAGATCAACAAATACTCGTATGCATTCCCGATACAAAGAGGATGTCTCTCATACCTCTCCCACTCCCCTAAGATCAGGACTTTGCTGCTGGCGCAAAAAAAAAGAAGCATCCAAGCTAAACCCATCCAGTATCTACCCGCAGAACTGCGGAGGGAGCAGTGTGGACGCGTGACCCGGTGGGGCACGCAGCGACGCTAAGGCTGTAGTTCATGTTTGTTCAATGTGTCTGGCAGCCGCTGGAGCCCTGCGTCGTATCACGCTGGGAGCTGAAGCCGCTCTGAGACTGAGGAAACTCAGCACTTCAGCAAAGCGCGCTCACGGCTCCGGAGCTCCTCGCTGCAGAGCAGAGGCACCTGAAATCAGTCGTTTCTTCTGACCCTGTTTCTGTAGCCTTTTGCAAATCCTACCCAGGGCTGAGACAGGCTAGGAAATATCAAAGTCTGTAGCCAACATTTTTTGGCAACACATTTCTGTTTATACACAGCATCATTAACCACTGCCACCTTGAAAACAGGCCAATATCTGAGTGCTGAGTACAGCAGGGGGGATGTAACAATCCCTCTGTTTTTCAAGATCATGACAAATAGTTTTGTAATTCAACAAACTGCAAAGCCACCGATAGACGCATTTTTCAGTTTAACAAATATGAATAATTAAGAAAGAGTCAACTTGGCCCAAATCTTATTGAATATATTTCAACTATTCGTTAAAAAACAGCTTTGAGCTAAATAATTTTTCATAACATAATGATTGCAGCTATTACACAGTTATCTCAGTAGGAGTCTGGTTTGAGAATACTCATGAAATTGAAAATATATATAATGTTTTCAACGAAAGAAGTCCATAGCGTCCCCTGTGGTTTCAATAAACTATAGGACATATCAGTCATGACGAAATTAACTCAACAAATCTGCATTTTAAAGACAAGATAAATAGAGGGTAATTATTGGATCATCTGGCTTTCTTTTATTGAGTATTTAGATAATTCACCAGCTGTGAAGCCAAAACATTCACAAGTCATTCTAGGAGTATTGACATATACTTGTGAACATGATACAGTTATTGGAAAGCCTGATAAGTGATGGTGATAAACAAGACATAAGCAATTGTAAAATAAATAAAATACAGAAGGAGATAAGAACTGACCCTCGATCTACAGACAGAAGCTTCATAAACCCAGGAGACGTAACAACATCAGACATGATCTTTTTGCTGTTCCAACGTTTCTTCTCTCCATTCCGTTCCTTTGCCTTTGTTCTTGCTGAATGATATTATCTCCCTAAAATTATGTTTTTCCTTTCACTCTTTAATAGCACTTTGAACATATATTTTCCTCACACTTCTCAAAGTGGTAGATACATAGAAATAAATTGAGCCTTGTAGCTTCAGTGTGAGGCAGGTAACATTCCAGCTACAATACTGCCCCCCCCCCCCCCAAAAAAAAAACCCGGCAGCCAGTTCAGAAAATGCAGAATCAGGACCTCCGTATGCAATGTTGGCAGAAGGATAAAGTAAGTCATAGGAAAACTAAGCTGCCAAATCATAGACTGCTTTAATAGTATTTTTATTTGTGTAGACTTTGCTGGCTTCAGAGTACTTTACATGTAGTAATTCACTACTGAATACAAAGCACCTATTTGCTTTGCAGCTCTAGCCATGGAGACAGAAAAGGCCTCCAGGGAAACAGCAGCGGGGGAGTTAGGACCCCGCAGACTGCCTTCTCTGGGAAGAATGTGTTGGGCTGTCATTCAGCCCTCAATTTGGAAGGTTTTTCAGAGCCAGGAGCTGTCTTTGGCTATAGCACCTTTACCTGAAGGCAGCGGTTGATACTAAACTAAAGAGGAGGCAGAGGTCCAATCCAAAGGTGACACGTTCACCAAATTACCCTCCGAAGGAAATTGCTGAACGAAGTGTCGAATGGCAACACCTCAGCTCCTGTCAGACTTCATGGATTCAAGAGGCATTTGACAGCCAGGACTGTGGTTCACACTGGAACACCTCCAAATACCGTGGTACACTAGGAGAATAATCAATAGCTTATCGCCATCAGGTCTTTGTGTCGAAAGGATACTTAACGAGCCAGTGGTTCAGTGGAGACAAGGGTATCCAGCAAGGTCACATTCCTCCCTCCTGCTTGGCACTGATATTGTGTCTCTGAAGAGAAAAACACGAGCCCATATTGCTTGTGCAGTTCCACAGCAAAGCCAAGTTTTTGCTGACTGCACCAGTCTGCAGAGTCTGCGAATGGAGACTGGGAAATTCTGTCCGGCACTGGAGAGGAGGAAGACAGGCTGCGAAAGAGAATTATTCTTCAATTTGGAAAAAAAAAAGGCCCGACCCAAATAAGTCTAACAATGCCCCAATAACTCCCAGCTGAAGCTTCACCTCAGAAGGCAAAGGAATAGAAAAGAGTAAATCAGTTAGTTCATTTCCTTGGCAATATTGTGCAGGCCAGTGAGGATATTCAGAAAAACATAAAGTCATGAATTTGAGAAGTGGCAGCTGCATTTACCATCCTAAATAAAATGTGATAACCAGAAATCTACAACCTCATGGGAAAGGCACAAATCTTCAGGTACTATTTCTTCTGGCCCTGACAGCTGAAAATCCAGCAGAGGTACAGACTGCCAACGGTGTGCCTGAGAGAGCAAATTAATCGTGAAAACACAAGGCACTGAAAGGCAGTAACAGAAAACAAACATTGGGCTCCGACATCTCGTATCACTTGCGTTGTGCAGGCAGGACAGTGGAAGCAGTCGGGACGCGGTCGAGGTTGAAGCCGGAGCGTCTGCTGTGGCAGGGCTCCTCGGGCTGGAGCGCCGAGGGGCCGCTGCAGCGCAGGGCAGGCGGGCGTCCTGCAGATGCGCTGAGTGGTGCCTCGCTGCCGCAGGAAGGATCTTGGCTCGTATGTCCCTGGTCCCCAGGCTGTGTCTGAAACCTCTCTCTGTCTCCATACAGCGCCTAGAAATAACCTGCAAAAGCTTTCCTTTTGCTTCTATTTTCTTGCCTTGAGCTCCTTGCGCTGTCAGCCCGCGGGGTGCTGGGTGAAAGGGAGAGGTCGAGTGTGAAACCACAAAGCGTAGTGCAATGCAATTGTCATTGAAACAACTGTCAGCAACCACTGGTTCCTTTTGGACTTATTCCTGTCTCCGTGCTCTGCTCGGCCTCATAACACTCCAAAACAACCTTATTGCTGTCCGGGAAACACAATTCTCTCCAAGCCGCTGCAGGGCAGGATTCAATAACAGAGTGTTTTTATCCAATAAAGGGAGTTGGAGCACAGGGACAAAATATTGAATTAAAAGCAGAAACAGAAGCAAGATCAAGTATAAAAAAACCTTCAAGTAAATGAAAGGCTGGAGAAAAGCAGAGCGTCCTCAGCATGGGCTCTGAATGGGGCCCAATGCCAGCCTCTCCTAGGGAGCCTCTAAACACGTTGCAAAGCTGCAGGAAAGGACTGGAGAATTTGGAAGGACTGTAGCAAAAATGTGTTATTTTGTTTGGTCATGAGAGCAAACGCCCACAGAGGAAACCTGGATCTGCATCCACCTGAGGCGCCAATCCTCCAGCAGAGGCTAGAGCATCCCCTCTCACCCCGCAGTGCCTGCTGCTTGAAGCCGATGCACAAGGGCTGTGCATCCTGACTGCTCTGGCAGAACCTGGATGCCAGGATACATAAGGTCTGGAGGGGAAAGAGGAGAAATCTGCCTCTTTCTTGACTCCATGGAAAAAAAGGAGGGAGGGTTTTGCTGCAAACAAAAGCCCTCGGCATCCTGGCACTGCCTGCCCCATCCTTCTCTGTGAGCAGCAGCACGGCACAGCTGTGTGGGGTGAGGGCTCAGCAGAGAGCATCCCCAGTGTGCAGTGGGGCAGCTGCCCTCTTGCTCCAGCAAATGTCACTTACGCATCCAAGCATATTTCAGATGTGAGGGGAGAGCACCAGAAGGTGCTGGTGGCTCACACCGCACTGCCCCCCAAATCCTCCTCCCATTCCCAGGCCTTTCCTGGATGCTCATTCTTCACAGCGAGGCTGTTTGGTTGGAGGGACAGAGGAGAGCAGGGCTGGGAGGTGCAGCAAGCCCATGGCTTTCAGTCATCCATCATTAGCCCCCCAAGAGCGATGTTATGACAGGCATCTCCAGCTTGCTCTCAGCCAGCGCCCACGGCCCTGTCATCCCAGGCCTTATGTGCAGCCATCAGCAGAGGGATTTTTCAGAGCCCCTGAGAGCGCTCCTGGAGCACTGCCACTCTTGAAGGCTGAATTAGGGCTGGCCCCCGGTCCTGTGCACCAGGGACATCTCCAGGACTCTCCAAGGCTCTGCAGGGTTGATCACATTCCTGCAGCCACAGGGCTCACCTGGCCAGGAAGGATGAGAGCTACGCTGTGTTCACATCACAGTATCTGAGACACTAGCTTCTTTGGGGCCATCTCCAAGGCTCCAGGATGGATGTCTCAATGTAGCCAAAAGCTGACCTTTTCTTTTACCTTTTTTGTCTGACTTTTTACTTCCTGGCATTCCT